TCATTGGCGAAAACTTCCCAAACAGAAACATATATCATAAACCATTTTGGGAACGACATATGCCCAATGCAGTACAATTCTGAAAAAGAAAAGCCTATGCCTCTAACTACCTTAGCGACATAAACTTCAGTTTTTATACGGTTGTCAAATGACTACCTTGACAAAATTATCTTGTGGGGGCTTAATGTTATTACTTCAAATTAGGACCTAGTAGACACAAAAAGGATTAGTCAACTTGATTGACATTTGCACTGTAGTTTTCTTGATCACCTGTTTCCTGATTGACATGAATCTTGTATAACCATACTTATCAGCTGTGTCATTGAACATTTTGATAGCTCCATGCAAGAGTGGAAGGATTCGTTTATGCTAAATGTCTACACTTTGTGCAGTGTATCAAGTTTAGACCATTCTGCTTTACTTGACAGCATACTAAAATGATTGTGCCAATAAAAATTGTGAATGAAAATGATGATGACTATAACAATGAAACTAATAACATTGAGGGTGGGTGGAATGCCAAGCTGACGGACGCAAATGAAGACAAAGATAAACCCAACATGTTGGCAGAGACAGTCAGAAGTAAATGAAAATCTGTACCAGCTGACACAGCTCCTACTTTTTGACTCACTGTCAGATATAACAGTCCAGTGTTGCCAGTTGTTGAACTATGTTACTTGATAGCAAGTTTAATTTAGTTGTGATTATAGAATCTGTTCGCCACCCAATAGTATCATAACGAGTAGTTATTTCTCAAGAAAAGTTATTTAGTTTTGGAAAATACATATCAGGAAGATGTTGCATTCTGGATTGAAAAGAATGGCAACCATATTGTATAGTGGCTCCAATTAGTATACTAATATAGTTTGATCTTAAAGCATTGCTGCAAAAAAGATATTCTTGAAACTTGATCAGTCCCAAGTACTTGTGTTCTCAATGTTGTATAACTTTAATAAGTGTTTCAACTGTGCACCTACTTGACTTTGTCAAAAACAATTATGCTGTACAGGTTGAATAAAGGTCAAAATGCATAATATTACCAAAAATGGAAGGTACATGTTAGGTCAAAGTACCGACACCTATTTTATTACATATTGAAACAAGAGTCATTAAAAGATGACAAATCCCCCTGGTTCCCACAGAAACCAAAGACACCACTGCTTGTTAATACATGTAACAAGTTTGGATGAAAAATCTTTCACGGTTTTCAATACGCTTTAATACAAAGTATGTTTGGACAGCGATCAGATGATGGCTATATCCCCCTGGATTATATGCCAGTGACATGTTTCTAAACATTGGATCATAAAAAGACACCATACCTGGGATAAGTAATACTAAGTTTCAGCTCCATGAGCAATGTTTTACAGCGACGATGTCGAACATGCAAAATTTTAGGCAACTGGACAGGCAGATGGATGCATGGTGGGCGATGACATAAGCTGACATGTCTTTCGGTAATAAACACAGTTTCAAAGGTCAAGTGTCATAGCAGGATGAAGAATCAGATGGATGGATAGATGGAAGAACCACACCATGCCATGTTATATTAGTTCACCTGAACTGAAAGGTAAAACAAAATAGTTCAACGTCACTTCTTAAAGTAAACAAGTGGAAACTACAACTATTACTTCCATTATCATTTGCAGTTGAGTTCTGCTTTCTTAACTGCATGGACAATGGTGTATCCATAAATGTCAAATACATGCAAATCAGAACCATGTGAACCAACATTGGTGTGGTCAGTGTTTAACATGAATGTCAACTGAAGTTCCAGCTCCATTTGTCCAGCAGTTTCATATAAATATTGATCTGTTGAGAATGGACAATTTGCCAACAGGCCATGACATAACGTTCCCTTGAGCTCACACCCAGCTAGGTGAGCTAAAAACCTACTTACAAACAGAAAACATGGCATAAAGAAACTCCAGGATCAATATCAGTATTGAATCACCAGGGGCAGACAAAGGGGATAAACATGCGAATATGTGTATGTAGATTGAACATCAGTAAAAACACCAAACATTCATATTGATATACCATTTTCTTACATTATTTACACATGGAAGGTTCATTGATGATTTTATTTGCTTGGATCATATTATGAGCCTATTTTTCAACACCAGATTTCAGCTCTAAAGTTGTACTTCACCACCACAGTTTAAAAGATACATCCAGTTTCATCGATGTCAAATCAAACATCTCATGACTTTGGAGGCCCACATTGTTGTTTCATATTCTGCCAAGTCTGGACATTTCCAGACAGGTACTAAATCAGGGGTAAGTTTAACAATGCTCCCAAAGTTTAATGTAGCAATAGATAAATGCTAGAGCAGCACAAAAGAAATATATTTTATAGTTGTGTTAGTCTAGTCCCATCTAGTCTAGTCTAGTCCAGTCCAGTCTCAATACAGTATTGAATGTGTCCGTATAAAATGAAATGCATCAAACATAAATCACTTGAAATTCAATCTGAAACATGTTCATAATATTTGCTATGTAAAAATGGTTACATGACTAAATCAACTCTTTGTAAATCTACATGAAAGTTATAAATCTCAGTTAACTTGCTTAATATTTATCATGCAATAACACTTTAGTAAACAAAACACGTCTGAACAGTCCCGGCCTACCATTATCAAACATGTCAATGTCCATTTTTCAGGTTTATGAACCTAACCATTGCAAAGACATTATCTGTTTGGCCTTGGAGGAACAGATTCCCTGTTTAGTCCTCTGCCCATTGTGTCACTCTTACAGACTGACATGAAATGCTACACACACAAATCACACTTCGACATGAATTGGAAATAATTTAAACGCCCAACTAAACGGTCAGGCACGTGACCCATAAATGTTGCCTGATCACCTTCAGAGATACCTGCCTGCATTCAGACATTATGAATTTTGAAAAACCACAAAAAATAAGAGACAAATCAAATCTTGATTCAGTTGAAATAATGTAAACAATTATTTGAGAAGTCATAACAAAACTGAATATGTAAGTAGTCTTAAAATTATCTGCCAGACAGTCGGGCAGGTGGAGGAAAATTTCATGCAGCCCGACAGAAAAGTTTCCAGACACAGGCAGGCAGGCAGGCAGTTATTTTGGACACTGACATGAGACACAAGTGAATGGTATGAAGTTCAGACACAAATATACGTTGAAATCAATGCATTAAGTTTCAGATTCATTCTTTAATATACACAATTACACTTTCAAAACCATTCATCTGTCAATGACGTGAGGTAAATAAGATCATGAGAGTAAATCAGGACAACCTATTCCTGAAGTAACTGACTGCTCGTTGTTCTGTCAATATTGTTAACCTTGGCATCAATGGCTGGGGCAAGATTTCCTGGCCTACAATAGTAAAAACATTGTAGAATGTGTCAAATCATTCTCATGCCTGAGTGAGGTATTTTAATTAGCTCCGATTATTTCCTGTTACTACTGATAACATGATAATGAATACAAAATTAGAGAGATAAATTCGGAAATAATTCCATCAATATTTGAAAGATTGACATCTCTATCAGTGACCATTTCCTTTAATGTTGCTTTTCATCATGATGCAGATGATACCATAAAAATACATATTTCTATATTTATTTGGCACATTTTTAAAGTCAAAATGAAAGCACAAACGTTGCATCTATTTCACAAGTGAAATATGAGAGAATGATCAAGATATTATATGCCTTTCTCCGCCCCCATCCCCCCAAATCAACCTGAACTCATCATTCACAAAAGGCTTCCTCTACGTGTCACAGCACTACAAAGATCTAAGTTTCAAAGCAAAACAGCCCCAAAGAAGGGCATAATTAGTCAAAACTTAACACAGAAAAGATTTCATATTCAAACTTAAAAGCATCAAAACCAATGACATTTGAATGAAGAAATGGCAACATAGTGAAGTTAAGCTTTCCATTTTCTCTGTATTAGCAAAGGTATGGACTCCATTTGAGAATCTGACACATCTTTCTCACCTCTTTATTAGTGAAATAAATCTCACAACCATAAGGCATGAATGCCATTTGTAATTCAGCCTACAGCGTTAATATCATATCAGAATGACACTGGCGATTTGTCAGGCAGAAAAATCTAAAGCTGCATTTGCCGTCAACTCTTATATTAAATTAATCAAATTCTGCACCTGTTCCTGGAGCAATGCTTTTCAAATATTCATAATTATAACTGGTGAGAATAGCACTATTTCAAAGATGGAATATTTCACACTTTGTAACTAATTACCTTGGTCCGATATCAGCAGGAGATGTTGACCAGAGGCACGTCTCTACGGTAATTACAAAATGTCTTCTTAATTATTTAGCCCAAGCTGAGGTTATTAGATTATAACATCATATTCATTTCTGTATGTTTGTAGTGTACGACTTGAAGGTGTGAAACTCATTCAATTACACAAACTTGATCAGTGGAATTATACAGTTACCCTATTTGTAAAAAATATATACAACTCAGGAACACTTGCAGGTTTGAATTAGGATTAAAACTGTTTTGTTATCTGTGCATTTCAACCTAAAATAGCAATGGGCAAGTGTTAATTACATAAATATACAATCTTCTCAAAACTTGTGAATATCCACAGCATTCTTCCATTTTCACCACAAATATTATCATTTAATTAGACTGATTAAAAACTAGCACCATGTTACGGTCTATGAGACACGCTATGAATTCCTCATTGATAATACATAACATTTTAGGACTAGGAATAATAGAATTATAAAGCATCACATTTTCATAGATTTCAGAGTCAAAGGCTCCCATTAATAAGGCCAAATGATTTTTTGGGGTAACAAGTGGTGGTAGATTCTTGACACAGGGCAAGCATTTTCCAGCATTCCACACGACAGATGAGAATAAAAGTGGAAGCTAACCTTAGACTGACATTTTATCCTGTTGACATATAACATCTAACATGGCTGCTATCCATAGAGAAATATAAACACAAGTAGAAAACAAATGTGTTACTTACATCGGTGCATTCACAGGAACACCCAACAGTTGTGGCTCGGGATGCCTCTTTAAGAACAGTTCCACACTGACTTCAGCTTCCACCAGGGTTTCCTGATCAAATTAGTCTCTCTTTGCCAATCTGTTTTCCTTCAAGAAAGGAAATCAAAATCAGAACTAACCTTTCTATATTCTCTAAATCAAACACAAACTTTGTAATATGTTCCCCTTCTTGTGCCAAGTTTCTTTATAAGACACCCAATTACGACAAACTTAAACATCATCTAATACTAACTTCCTTCCACTTTTATTTTTTTCTTGATATTCAAGCTTGTATAAAAATGTACAGGGAGTCACAATAAGGGGGAAATGCTTGGAATGTGCTAACTCATGCTGCTATGTAATAATGAAAAGGATCTGTATGGATGGTATACAAGTATCAAATGCCAATGGTAGGATATACAGAAAACTTTGAGCCAGATTCCCAACACCAGGGGTAGGTGTGTATTGCAAAAGAATACCAAAAGGTCACCCAAACAGGTCTGGCATCTATCAAGTCTCGTCTCATCCGAGTATACACATCAATGTGCACATGGGGCCTCAGACTACCAGTTGGCTAAGTGCATCTTATAAACTTATCGATATGTGTCAAAATTGTGTGCTGCCAATCAGATAAATATCTTACACATATCTTCCGCTAAACCATGTATTCATGGCAGGAAGTCTTCCCAGCATGCAAGAAATGTTAGATATTGAATACGGCTCTGTACTTCAGAGGCCACAAGTCTTAAAGCATGAGCCATAACAAAGTCTTAACCTTTAGGGGGAAAACTTTTCAATCTTGAAAACAACCTTAAAATGACAAATTACAAAAATGTTATTTTGTAAATTCGAAACCACAGGTTCAAGTCAGCCTTGAGTGATTCCTTTCAGGTCATCTGGAGTATAATCAGTGTGGAAAATATTCTAAATATTTCTTTCAGTACAGTTGAATTTACTGCCCTAATCAATCATTTCAGATAGCATAGCTTCAGTACATGGCCTTCAGTATGTGGACATTTAATACTGACAGACAGTACACCATCCATAAATGCTTAACCAATCAACATGTCAATTACGTATGAATAGTGCACAGAAGTGTAGATGATGGATATCTCGTCATATTTACTGGTGTATGTGATTGAGGATCGAGTTATTCCTAGGCTGTAACATAGTTGTCACAGGAAGCACCCAATGTACTGCTTTGACAGCAAATATTTTCATATATGGTCTGCTTAAATTGATAAAATTAAAATGGTTACTTCAACTTCTGCTATTTTTATATATTTCATATTACTTCCCTTTCTTTGTACACTGGGTGGTCTTAGAACTTCTCATTGGCTGATCATTTTACTACTTATTAACAGCGTGAATACCAAAGTATAGTGAAACAGTTCCTCTTCAATATTCCCTCTACCTATGATCCACCAAGTGTTGTCAATAGATTTCTTTTCTTCTCTCTCCTTTTTCCAAATATTACTTAGTACTAACTGATCAAAATCTTAACACAACCTCCATTTCATTTCATCCACTGGTCAATACCGCTATATTTTAAGTATCACAGTGTCTATCTATGTGAGTTCAAATAAAAATTGCACAACATTTCAACATTTCAACATTTATCCTTATCTCTAAAATTAGTTTGGCAACATAATTGGAACCCAAAGCTCTATCAAGGCCTCATTAACACTTCCTGTTTCATTAATCCCATACAGATTTAAAATTAAAACTTTAATTATATGCCTATTATTGATTTATTATTGCAATTCATATGTTAAACAATACCTATATGAAACTTATGCCAGGACAAGTTGTTTCTCACAACCCTGCCACCTAATGAGGAAAGATGCAACTGGAAGTCATACAAAATTGTGAGTCGAGTTGGATATTACCTCCCCTCCCCTGCAAGGTCTGTCTGACCCCACCTGTGGCAGCTGAGGGAGGCAGGTGAACAAACTATCTGAGCAATGCACAACTTCCTCCGTTTAAGTAACCTCCTTAACATATTTATCTTCAAACACTATTTTGAAATCTTTGACAAAAGTGATCACATCTCTCTCTCTCTCTTTCTCTCATATGATCTTCAATACAGTCTTGTGATCTAACCTCCAATGTCATGACATTTTAGGATCTATTGTGTCAGTGGAGCCAGAGTTGACATGGATTTCAACTTCTTCATCTGTTCAATTACAATGCTAATTGAAAGAATAAAGATGTTGACATCCACAAGTCAACTCTGTCTTCATTAGGCATTCATATTCATATTACTTAAAGAACTGTTCCTCGATTTGTCCCCAATGGATGATCAATTATAACAATAATCTAATAATTGTTTTTTTCTGTAAAATATGTCCATTTCAGAGACTAGATTTTAGTCTACCTCAAATACTGGAGCTTCATATTTCAAAGAGATCCATCAAGTTAATGACACTGAGTGTCTGCTGCAAATATCACAGCTGTATTATTTTGACCAATCAAACCAATGAATATCATCATTTTGTAATGTCACACAATCGGGACTCACACTTGAACCAACCAATCCCCACAAAAACAGCACTTCTGACAACATGGAATTTCCATGGTTCTAAGGCAAGCATGGTACATCTACTGGGTAACTGTCGTGCCCCAGAGTTCCATGGCTAATGAGAAGCAGTGTGTTCTGACCTAGATCCTGCATGGGGAGGTCCATCATACTTCAAAGACGTACAACACAGTGATCTGTTTCCCTTACATGCATCCTACACAAGCACAATTTGGAAAGTCTATTTTTGTGTTCCCATGCCATGATATTTCAGTAATATTACAAAAAAAGCTACCTGAAACCCCACTCACCATTTCACTCAAAATATCAGAATACTCCCATAAAATATATCTTACAAGAAATACAAGGAGATAACTATAAAAACACTCACAAAAGTTTTGTAAAACAATAAATACAGCCAACACTACAATATATATTCACCCCATGAGCTGCTATCCACCTTGCCATACTTTCAGTCACAACAGGTAAGGGACTTAACTCAGTTTTCTCCTTAAGTGTTTGTTGACAGAATAAGGCTTGAACCATGATATATTCACCTGTTGAGTTTGGCAAGGGCATGACTTCTTAATAGCAAGAATGATTTCAACAGTTCATGGCGCCCTAGGGTAGACAAGTAGGATGTGCTCCTCTTGAAGGCCATCTTTCTGCCCAATCATTACTTCAAAGTGAAATGAGATATTGGCTGTGTAAACAATGGATTGTAAACAGCATTACAAATAATCACTCTTAAGGTCATACACCCTCTTGATACTCCATGATTGTCCTTCACTGAAGGAGTCCCATATCTGATTTCAACCTGCAATACATTCCGCATGTTATCATGCAGATTATACAGACTTCAGAAGAGGCGAACCTCTATCACAGGGCTTTACCATACAGGTATTTGACCTTGTTCTGTCAATAATACAAAACCTATATTATAGTACATGGCACTCCAACTTAATCATCCAATATTGTTGTAAGGATTACTCTCATACAGTTATTCTATACAAATCAAACATTTACTGAATTTTAGTTGAAATGCTTCATTTAACGAGAGTCATCAGAAGATGACAATCCCCCCCGGCCCTCACATATTCGAAAGCACAAATCATCTGACTGCCACATTAAGTCCAACTTGATGAGAGTATTTCTCTCTAATCTGTCTGTCTGTATACAAGAGTAGTTATTGTGCTATCAAAACAATACCATGGAATTGGGGTTTCGGAAATTGTCCTACTGTGTCCATGGAAATCAAGAAAAATAAAAATGCCAAAAATCTGCAAATAACAAAAGGCTACACATCAGGATCTGTTTGATATATCTGCCAATTTTTGTTGAAAAATATAGAACGGTTTTTGAGTTACGCTCCAGAAACAAAAAACAAGTCGCACAAAATTATCCGTGAAACTGGCAATCGTGTCCTTGTCCAACTTCTTTCCATAAAGATTTTAAAAAATAAAAATCAGACAGACAGACAGGCTGATCGCTATATCCCCCCACATTATATGCCGGGGGGATAACAAAAGGAAATCATGCCCAATTGCTTTTATCAATCCTAGCCTATTTGTCATAAAATTTCTACTTTATTCAAAACTGAACAACATACTGAAATATTTGCATTCATGTGCATATCTTACAAAATGAATGCCAATAAGACACCATCTGTATACCATTTCACACAAGCCTACATATGGTCAAAAAAAATGAAAATGAAAGTGTTGTAAATTATGGAACACCAAAGATTCAAAACACAGGACTCCATCGGTAGACAATAACGACAATCAAACTTTTAACGACCATCTACAATCCATGAGAGGCTATTCTCCTTTGCAATGCAAAGTTCAAGGTCATAAATACTGCAGGGATGAATGTTGTAATGATGCTGCTGCGACAAAATCTTTTTTTTACAACGGGCAGCTAGAGTACACAAATCAAAATATATCAGTGATGGACTGTATTTCCAAAAGCCCAAGTCTCAGTAGTATGGAAATGACATCTCAATTAAAAAAAACAAAGATTATGAATTCTGTAGTCATTCCCTTTTTGTTATATAGAGGGAAAATGGCAAATGGAAACATTTTCTGGAACCTCGGTGCAGCCATCTTGGATGTTGCAATACCATTAACTGACAGAAAACATCCACTCTGCCAATTACGTGACATAGATGATCTTACTTTTTGTTAAGCTATCCATCACATAAAAAAAGAGGAAACTACAGAATCATAATATTATAATTAGCCTAACATGTTTAAAATGAATACTCAATTTTTAAATACTCAAGATTAGGAACATTAAAAAGTCATCAATGTTGTGTAAAATGATCATGAAAAAGTTCAAACCTGGAAAGAATATTTCATTCATATTTCAAGTTTTGTAAAATTTCATCTGCTCCAACTGCTTGATAAAGATGTTTATGACATTGTAATAATGTTCATATGCACATACTTTTCTCTATAATCAATACTTTATGTCGCTATACTAATGTTGCTGCTTGCCACCTCAGTGTGAATATAGTTCACTTCAGTCCATTAATTATCCTATATCCTAGTCGAACAAGGCAACTATATCGTTTGGTGGTCAGACTCGA